TAAATTTGTCTGCTAATTCGTCTCCGAATATCTTTCAAATCTTTATCACTCTCTGCATAGTGGCTCTGCACCACTGTGCAGAGAGTGAACAAAGATCTAAAGACCTACGGCGACGCATTATCGGCAAAATTTTCGCCTTCAGAAGATCTTGCCGACACATTTAGATTGAAATTCTTGCATTTAATATATTTCTCAGTCTTCAGCCAACTATTTAGAAAAAAAGTAAGGTTTCTGGTACGTTGGATGGATTACGATGCAGCAAAGCTTGTCCGGAAATCAGTTGCGATGAGTTCCCACAAAAAATGTAAACAACGTTTTTTTGATTGCGTAGTTTCGGTCACATTAGAGCGGTCAGACTGCTTTATTCCATGTTCAGTTGACACTTGCTGTACAATCGGACTGTTTTTAGGGTAAAATTAGTTATTTGGGGTAACACGTGCATGCAACCTTGTAATAAGTTTGTGGCTTGTAAATAGTTTGTCATTACTCAGCGTAAATGACTTTTCATTAAAAATTACCTGGCAACGCATCTTTAAAATGGCCGGCGACGCTTTGGGCTTAAAAATCCATATATTGGCAACGCTGCATCGGAGTGCATCTACCCTCTGCATAGTGGGATACCAGCATTATCATACTTAAGAAATTGGTTCAAATCTTGTGTAAATGAGGAAATTAAAAATGAACTGATTCTAAAAAAGCTCTGGTTTGCCACTATGATTCCACACTTAAATTATGATCATGGGATTTCATGTTAGGGACATTTTTTATAATAAAAAAAAATTAGGGACATTTTTTATAATAAAAAATGTCCCTAACATGAAATCCCATGATCATAATTTTATGCACAAAAAAAATTGTAGGCAAGTTTCAGCCTCGGACTTTCATGTTAGGTTTATCTATTAGCTCAAAACAAAGTGAGCTGAGAAGCAGAAGCCAGAAAGCTCACAACCTGTTTGAATTTGGCAGTTGCAGTTATCCAGTTAAGATCCAGGATTCCAGGTCACACGAGGTCAGCAACAGGTCAGGATTCTCAAGAACTTGAATTGAAACCAACATTTTTGTCAATCATAGATCAAACTTCCAAGAAGACATGTAGGTACATTTCTTCTTTGCTGTGCTTGTGTACAGTTACATTAACATACAGTGTACTGAGTGTAGTCTGCACTTCCTCATCAGTCATCATAAGCTCGTTGTAGACTTGTAGGACGGTAGAACTTGGAAGTGTAACAAGTAACAACACTCAGTCTCAGACGGTGACAGACCTTAGCTTAGAAGTTAGTGTAGACTTACTATAGAGTGCAGACTATACAACTACAAGTAGCACACGACACACGTCACAAGACACAGGTACCAGTCGCGTCACAGTCACTGACGAATATGAAGCCGCTTAGCCGAAGCGACGCACATCAAACCGATCAAAGCGTCAATAAAAGATCGGCTCGGTAGTCGGTACTTCGGAAAATCGTTCAAGTCCGGGATTCGCATAGTGATAAGACTTCAGCATTAATCACATGTGTCTTTGATATCATAATACAGCATATAGTTTCAACCATTGTTGTATCATTGATTAAGATTTCATTGCTGATTAGCGCTGAATTTGCCATGATGATTATTACAAGACGAACAGAAGGTCCGTTTCAAGTGGAGGATCAAATTTTTTGTCCGATTATTTCAAGTTGTGAGATACACACTTTTCAATTTAACCTAAAGATTATCATAAAATCTTGCAAATGGTGTGTAAATAAATTTAGATGTCAGCTATACACTCTACATCAAGTGGCTCTAACTAGGAGTGCAAAGTTCCCACGACCGTATCTGTTTTTTGACGTTCAAATAAAGTTATGATATTTTTTCTGACGCAATGTAATCTCAATAGAGTCTACCTTCAAATCATGTCACGGAGCGCGTGCCTGCTATGTTGTTGGCGCCAACGTCACGCTCGCACGAGTGGTGGCCGGGGCAGGACACCGAAAGTGGAGGGAGATGGGCAAAGGCAGGGAGGGTAGCCAGGAACGCTGCCGTTTCCACGGGACTGTCATACAGTGAGGGAGAGACACTGAAGGTCGTGGGGAAGGAGGGGCAGCTGAACAGAATACTGGACGGACAGGAGGGGACCCCGCTCAAGGGGCAGGAGGCACTGAGGGGACCCTGCAGGTGTAGGGCGCCAGGGAGCTGCAGTAGCCCGAACGGAGCTGGGATAGCGCTGATCGATAGGGGCGAGGGAGCTAGGCTTCTTCCGGCGCGATCGGTGTGGGTGGGATCACGAGAACGGTGTTGTTCTCGGTTAGTGCCGCGATGCATGAGGGGATCTTCCTGTGCAGGGAGCGCTTAGCCTTTTCACAGGCGCCGGCAGGTAAAATTCCGTTCGTCAGGAAGGGCTCAACAAGGTGGCCGAACTTCGACGTAAGGGAGGCTTACATGGGACGAACCCCGAGGGAAGCAGATACAGAGTGCAATGAAGTGTGGGTTTGCTGGAGGGCACTGGCGAGGAATTATGCGCAAGCCAGGTGTCCGGGGAGAAGAATGTGACAGATGATTTGCTCTGTGTCACGGTCAGTTTCTTGGAAGCAGACCAGTCGGAGAGGCCCCGCAGAAGCCTAGCTAGGTCGGCCACTGCAGCATCGAGCCTCGGTAAGACACGAAGATCGTGTGAGGTCATCCGAGCATGAGGCAATGTTGGAGATAGGTACTGGGATGTCAGAGATGAAGTGGTTGAATAGGGCGGGCCGCGGGGGGAGAACTCCTGAGTGAATTGTTCTTATGGGAGATTGCGTTCTGAGAGGTAGCAGTACAGATAGCGGAGCAGGTTGTGGTGTAGATCCGAGGCCACGATCATACGAAGAAGGAGAGGGTGGTCGGCACTATTGAAAACCTTCGATAGGTTGACCGATGCTGCCACTGTGCGGGCTGGGGGCCACCGTGAGTTAAAGCCCGTCGCAATCTGGTGCGCGAGCGGGAGGAGGGCGGTGACAGTAGAATGTCCCTGGTTTGAAGCCGTGTGGCGAGGAGACGGTGGTAAGGGAAGCCGAGATGTGCGGAAGTAGGAGTCGTTCCAGAATCTTGACTGCTGGGCAGAGGACGTAGATTGGGCGGTAGGACGAACCTTGGTAGGGATAATTGAATTTTTCCAGAAAGCTGGAATAGAAGCCGTGGAAACAGATGTTAAAGAGGCGAGTAAGGATTTGGAGGCCACAGGGGCCAAGGTCCTTGAGGTGGAGGACCGTGAGGCCCTCTGGGCCCCGGCGGATGAGTTACTGGCAGCTCCGATGGCGCGTTTCACCATGTTAGTGGTGAAGGGGGAGAAGTCCCTGTCGAGGGGATGTTCTGCCCAGATCCGAGGCATTAGGCGGCGGGTGGAGGGGCTTTGAGTGTGAGGAAACGATGGAAGTGAAGAGTTTTCAAAAGGCGGTGGATATCTTGCGCTGGGAGGAGAGAGAGGTGTGACCAAATTGGATTGGTTGATTGGGGAGCGAGCGTTAGCGCTTTCTGGCCATGGAGCGGAGGAGGTTCCAGTGCTTCGACTGGTGGGTGCGTCTGTTGCACGACGCTAGGTGTGTCCGCCAGGTATCCCTATCGTGGGCCAATATAGAAATAGATATTTCCAAGTTGAGATCTGGAAGCCTGGGATCGTTAAGGTTGCGTGCCCTGATGCCGTTCCGTTGCTCAATTAGCAACCGGATGTCAGGGTTGACTGAGGGGAAGAAATCCTTCCGGAATGCGGAAGTGCTGCTATCGAGCACGACGCTCCCAACTTATGTCTCATTCCCTTGGTTCCAGTGGCTTTTATGCCACTTGAAATCAGTTAACTTGTACTAGGTGAAGTAACACGAACTGTAGACTTTGCCAATTATAAGTCAGACTGATTGTTGGAAGCAGACCCGTTCTTGGACATGCTGTTCTGTAGGTGAACATATAAAGGCACTGCACTGTAGCTGGGCGATAGTCCGTCATGGTTAATTATATACTAGAATATATAAAGTGATTTGGGGCCAGGTGATATCCGTACTTCAAATCAATGAGCAAAAAATAAAATAAAATACGCAATAAATAAACAAGAACCAACACCAGGGGCCACGGCTATAAACTAAAAAAACAGCGTTGAAACAAGAACCAACACCAGGGGCCACGGCTATAAACTAAAAAAACAGCGTTGGAACACATCCATGCGACAACATTTCTTCTCGCTTCGAGTCACCGACATGTGGAACAGCCTCCCTGATAGCATCGTTGAAGCTCCGAGTATGAACATCTTCAAAAACAGACTAGACGAAGCTATGCAGGAGCATATGTTCAGTCTTAAAATGCCTAGCAAATTACGGACCAGGCAATAAGTCCAGCAGCTATCTCAATCAATCGTCAGCTATGGAAAGATCGGGTTCCAAAGGCCGGATCCCTTGTGAATCAAGTCACGAAAAGTTCAAGAATCGGCAACAGGCCATGGGCCTATTTCTTCAATGCCGACACTTCTATTCTATTCTATTCTATGAGCAAAAAATAAAATAAAATAAGCATTTTATTCCTTCTTCCGATGGCTAAGCTGAAATTAAGTTAAAGCGAACATTGATATTGCGGTCGAATTTACACATCTTCTGTTTGCAATAGAAATACGTTTCTAATTTTTCCTTTAAATATTTTCAAAATGAATATTTACTTGCCTCTCACAAATCACGAACAATACAAGAATCGGCGACAGACCACTATGGCCAATTCTTCAATGCCGACATAGGTAGATAATAATCATAGAGGTCAGTGAAGCCCATAAAATGGGCGGAATTTCTCTCGAGTCTCATGATAATATTTCATACACGTCATAAAAAAACTAGCACAAATAGATTACCGTGAAATGTTTCTTTTTGATAAATTCCTTGAGTCAAGGTTATCGAGCCGTTGCCCAAAACCCTGCAAGGCTTGTGAGCGAAATGATCACTAGTGACATGATCCATAAGGTAGGTAACAATTGGTCAAATCGGGTTAAATTAAAGGAGGGTTCAAACACAATCTGAAAATCAATTTAATAAGATAACTACGAAGCCTAGCTCGGAGTTCTCTATACTTTCACGTTACCATGGAATGATGCAAGACGCAAGAAAATATTTTTAGAAGTTACTCTTGCCAAATATAATATTAAAGTATCCAACACACAGAGCAAAATTGAACTAAATCTACGCTGCCTTCTACAATAAAAGCAATAGAAATATCGCAACAAAAACTTGCCCCAAAAAAGAAAATAAACAGCAAAATTTGTTTTAAACTGAAAATACTTCAATGCTACAGGACCAGGCTGCTTGAAGTGCTACATTACGTAAAATTTAAATCTAACAATCTTCGCAGCAACTAATGTCAAAGAAGCTTATTGCTGAGGCGTTTTCACAAGTCGGGGCAAGTTAGTTGAGGCAGTCATCTGATAATTTTCTCAAATCAAAGAGCAGTGAAGGAATATATTACACTCTTACTGATAAATAATGCCAAGGATTATAGAGAGGGATTACTTTGCTTAGCAACAGAGCGAGTGGTATAGATACTGCACAATGTAATCTTAAGGATGCTTCTATCTCTTTGAGGTTAATGCACACCATACGACTTCAATTTATCAGTCAAAGTTAGCAGTTCAACACGCATCATTGAACAGAATTACACTTCACGCACGTGAACGCAAAAGGCACAAATAATTCCAGGTTTGTTTGACATAAACATGAATGTAAGAACATTATCAAGGGTTAACTGCTTTAGAAAGCAGCAGGACATCATGATATGATAAGCCATCTAAATACCATTTCCAATCTCACAGTCGCAAGTAAAAAGCTGAAGTAACACAAGCAAAGGACCAGAAAGAAGCGGCACCATAAAATTAACAATGTCCACATAATGCAAAAAATGCCTCTCACGATTCACACGAAAAAAAACATTAAACCAAAATGTAGCTCACAAGCCAATGAAACGTGTAATTAAGGAAAATCAACTAGCCGTTGCAATATATCAACTGGGAAAATGCTTTAGTGAAGTGCACTTAAAAAATAGAACATACAATCGCAAATCATGAGAGGTGAAAAGTGATACCACGTCTCTCGATAGCCAGGCTGTTCAATGATTGCAAAGAACGTTGAACATCAAGGTTCGAACAATACCAGGCTTTCTGCACAGCTGGCTGCCTTCACTTACATCATCCTGACAGCTCAGTAAGTTTACAAACTTAGCCTATTAGAGTGATGAAAAAAATACATTACATGAAAAAAATACAATAACGATCTAAGGTCGTTCTCATTCCCCCTGATGCAGTACTAGACGCTGGAGATCACGTGCAGGTAGTTTCTACGGGTGATGATCTAGCCGAGTGAATCTAGCGATCGTTTACACCAGTTATCCTGCAAATTTATGAAGAGATTACCACTTATCCCACTTATCCAAGGAGGTAATTTATGAAAGAACTGTACATTTAATTTTGCTATTTTATGCTATTTTATGGTAATAAATTTCTCATAACGTAATCTTATAATATTTTATGCTAAATTTCTCATAACGTAATTCTTCTGACATTTAAAATATATGCACGTTTAAAAACAGAATAATTTCGACAGATTTGCCTAATAAGCACAAATCATAGTACAGAATATTAGAATTTTGATAAAAAAAGACAAATGTAAGTTGATACCATTAGCGGTCCTGGACAATTCAATTGCTTTTGGTAAACAAAATACCCAGAATACATTGTTAAATGATCCACACTAAAAAGCCTGGCCACTAAGGTCTGCAGCTCGAACTATCGCTCATTGATGTTTGTTGAAGTGTCTTTGCATAGAGAAGGCATCGATGTTTAAAAATAAATCCAATTATTATGGAGAAACTTGAACAGAATTACAACCAAGACATTCATTAGTCACATATTTATAATATAGTTCCCTGTTCAATAAATTACTAGCTTTATTTATGTAGCACTTACTGGTCATACTCTGGGTGTTCTAGATGTACCACGTGACAAGGATAGTGATATTTATCAATTTATCATTACGTGCAGGTTGATGTCAAAGCAAATGGCCAATAGCCAGTGGTTCACGAACAGTGCATATGTAGTCTATCATTTATCTAGGGTAATGTCAATGGGATTTATTTTAGCCATGAACAATGATTATATTTTTGTGACGTAAATATCATTTTATTGGGTACCGTGGTGAATGAGTTGGGCAAACATTACCGTTCTCTCATGAACAATTTGGTCCTCAAATTGTCATTGAAAAAATTCGTGTATGGAGCCAGGAACCATGAACTCACAGCTGGGATGGGGGCGGTGATGAAACCTCTAATTACTTCTTGGAGAGCTCGTTAGAGAGCCAGTCCAGTCCTTCGTAGAGACCATCCCCTTGACAGGCACAAGTCGCCTGGATGTACCACTGCACAACACAGGCAAAATAGAATAAAAATTTTCAAATATTATTTTATTCTACCTCTGAATTGTGATTTAAATGAACCCAATGCCTACACCAGGTAATTATTTACAATTACGGTATTCTACACCTAAAATGAGATTTTACGGAACCTGATATCAATACTGGGCAATTTTTCAAGATCATTCTAAACCTGGTAAGTGATTAAATTTGATCAAATGAGTCACACGTAACCCACCCTCTTGTTTCTGAGTTGGTTGAGCCCAAGCTTATCAGTGACTTCAGCAGCCGTCATGGCGTTGGGCAGATCCTGCTTGTTTGCAAACACCAAGAGAACCGCATCGCGCAGCTCATCTTCTTGCAACTGCCAATAACAAAATTAGATGATACTTTAATTCATTATTACTGATTATTCAGTGGCTTTGAAATTCAATGTGTATTGGCCCTTACTGGTTTATGGAGGAATATAGATCAAGATGTACCGTTATTAAGCCTTGAGGGGTAGAGTATGGTGAATGCAAGCACAGGCAGGTAAAGATTGACTACAAGCCGAGATGCAAATGAATAAAAATACAAAAATGAATAAAAAATGTATAAATGAAAAACGTTTCACAGCCTTTAAGGAATATCAGGGTACGTACTGGTATTTTAAAAAAATTCCATGACTCTCCATGACCATCAATATAATTTTCCAGGACTCGTATATGACAGGTTTAGCATGACTGAAAGACTAACCGTGCATATTCAATCATCTCCTACAGTTGATAAATATCAAACGTGTAAATGCATAGTGCAGGAAGACGCAGAGGAAATAAAATGACACATACCTGTAAATCAAGCCCACACTGGTATTATTATGAATTCAATAGTGTAAAATCACAACAAATATTGAGTAATGCACACAAGATTGTACACGATAATGTCAACACAGTTCAGAACATTCTTCAATAAAACTACCCTAACATTCAACTGGCAGCTATTTTATCAACTTTTTCTTTAATGTTCAGTTCAAGAATATCTAGCTTTGTTTTCAAAGATTGCCTCGTGGCGTTGAACTTTGCGATAATTTTCAAATCCCCCTTTCTCTCCATTGCTTCTGCATTTTCATAAGCTGCTGGCTCAAGCGCCTTGATGCCCTCCTCCATACGCCTTTTCTTCTTCAGTTCATCTAGCTCATCCAACAGAGCCTTCCTCTTCTGGGTTTTCTGGGCCTTCGCATTATGCCCTTTCTCTTCTGCAAAATAAGTATTGTAGGCTGTTTTGGCACTGCCAGCTGCAAGCAGCATCTTCTTTGTGATGGTCATCTTGTCCAGGCCACCAACATGTGCAACATGATCAACCACAGCACGCGGGACAACCAACGTTCACTCTTTCATGTTGTGCGCAATGATTTCCTTGTTGAACGAAAACCCTCTTTCAACCGTGGCTTGGCCATGAGACAGGAGCATGAGGATCTGCACTACATTCCAGAGCTTATTGTAGGTGCTCTTTGACAGAATGTCATGCCAAAAAGTGTCCAGTTGATCAGAAGTTGACAATGCTTGAAGCCGTGCGTTCAGTTGACTGCAATGTTGTGATTCATCTCTAAAGTTGCACATCTCATCACGCAACATTGTCCACATCTGTGTTAGGGAATTTCTTGGCATCAACAAGCAAAGTGAGATAGTTCTTCAACTGCGTCTTGTCAGCTTCCTTGCACTCCTTCTTGATGAAGACTTTGGGCACCAGCCATCTCAGGTTCCTACCAAGGCCATACCTGATAGGGCTCTTGTCCAGTAGCTTTTGGACTACAGCCTGCATGAAGTCCCGCACTTGTGTCTTGAATAGAATAGAAGTGTTGGCACTGAAGAAATAGGCCCATGGCCTGTTACTGATTCTTGTAGATTTTGTGACTTGATTCACAAAGATCCGGCCTTTGGAACCCGATATTTCCATAACTGACAATTGATTGAGATAGCTGCTGGACTTATTGCTTGGTCCGTAAAGTGCTAGGCATTTCAAGACTGAAGATATGATCTTGCATAGAAGATATGATCCTACATACATGAGAACTTGCAGTGCACTTGCATTCTTGTCTGCAAGCTGTTTTTTTATTGCAGACCCTGCCACATAACCAACATCAACCTTATTGAGGGAAATCAAAAAACGCCTTTTGTTCCATGACTTTCTATGACCTGAAATGAAATCCAATGACTTTCCAGGCCTGGAAAATGAAAAATCAAATTCCATGACTCTCCAGGTTTTCCGTGACCCATATGCACCCAGGAATATATTTCTGATAATCAAAAGAAACCTTGTGTAATTAATATAAAACAATTCAAAATGTCAAATGAGTTAACTGATTGACAGATTTTTCTAGAATGATGACAAGAAGAACAAAGTAACAGACAGAATGGAAATTTATATACCTATATGCATAAAGAAGTTATACTTGAACTACTCTGGAAGAAAGTTATTGCATATTACAATAAGATAGAAATTAATTTCTCAATAATGTTGCAACAACTTGGTTATTATTGATAGAAACAAACCATCTTTGTGAGCTCTTCAGAAGCTTCACTGATTCTCTCTCGGTCATTGCTGTCCACCACAAATATGAGGCCCTGCGTGTTCTGGAAATAGTGCCGCCACAAAGGGCGGATTTTATCCTGGCCACCAACATCCCATACAGTGAAGCTGATGTTCTTGTACTCAACAGTTTCTACGTTGAAGCCTGGAAAAAATTATATGTATATGTAATACATGTGTATATATATTACCCCATCTATTACAACTTAAATGAAAAAAATAAATAAAATATAAAACATTAGAACAATCACCAGAAAAATCTCTGATGAATAAAGCTATACAAATTTTCATGTTAGAATGATAAACTGATTGAGAGAATAACTCACCAATAGTAGGAATAGTGGTAACAATTTCACCAAGCTTCAATTTGTACAAAATAGTTGTTTTACCAGCTGCATCAAGTCCAACTGAAAGACAAAAAAAGATAAATCAGGCAAGACATTAATGTGTTCTTCATTTAGCAGGTTACATGCTTATGATTAGGAAATTTAAAATTTTATGCAACACACAAAATGTACACAAATCCCACAAGAAAAACCTACTGTGAAAATATACTCGTTATAATACAAAAAACCTGGATAATATTCAACAAAATAATAATTTTTATTCTTGGTAGAAAGAGTTAGAAAGCAAAAAGTGATTTTAAACTGGAGCATGGCAAAGCTTGCCATGCTCCAGTTGTTAGTACAAAACTCGTACAAGTTTTAATAGTACTAACCTGGATAAACTTGATAGGATGGAATTTAAAGGGCAGAAATTTTCAATAACAATCAAATTTTTACCTAACATTTCATGAAGAAAATTTAATTTTTCTAGCCATCTTTTCTTCAAAGAAACCAACACCTATTTCATCATAAAGTACTAGATATATGGGTAGGGCCTGAATTTTTCCTTAGTATAATCAACAGGTAACAGCTGATAAGGTATAAAATTAATTCCACAAAATTATAATTTTCTAATTTATGGAATTAAATAATAATAACTGACATGATATTTACAGCTTTCCACACAGATTTCCAACTCTACCATCAATGCCAATGACATTGCCACGGCACTCAAGTCGCCAGCCATCAATAGGTAGAAACAGATTGTTCAACAAAATTGAATCTCTTCTTTCTAGCACAATCAATAAAGCTTTGAGGTCAGGCATAGAATATATACTCCAACATCGTAGGTAATTCCGTCACCTCTCCAGCTTTTCCTTTATATTAGGCTTTGTTTTAGTTCCATGCGTTTGTTGATGGTTGAAATGGTGACGTCATACATTTGCGAGTCAAAATACTGCCAAAACACTAGGTCTTGGCCATCTAGTGGGAAAATATTGAGATCCAAAGAGAGACAATGCATGCCACTACACAACTTGAATTGGACACACACAGATCGTTCAAAGCTTTGCACAAAAATTGAAATTTGCTTAATTAAAAGCCTAATAGCTGTTAATTAAAACGTAATTAAGTAGTGACTGTAGTGTTCAATATTTGTTAGTGTTCTAATTCAAAGCCGTGTTGTATCCCAATACAGCTCACACAGCAAACGGAATTCGAACACGTGGATGTCGGCAATACGTATCAGTTAAATTTGAAGCGCTGACGCCATACGACTCACCGCGTGTCGAATATTGCCACACAAAGTGACGGAATATAGGGATTTGGTAGGTTTCCATTCTAAAGGCTTTTTAATAAATATGGCAACATTTTGTGACGTTTCATCGTTGCTGACGCGTAGTGAAGTGTTTTGAGAGTCATGTGAAGGCAACAGGACTTACGCAATGCATACGGTTTTTTTTATAGTTTTTCATTTCTCGATGCGTCCTTAATGTGTCGGAATATACCGCGTTTACCCTATACCTAGAAAAAATGAGAAAAAATGAAAAATGAGAAAAATTGCTTCTCTACTTTCATCTGCAATTTTTGAAAATTTCCCATGGCCATGAATCAATTTTTTTACCTATAATTTTGTGAAAATGTTTCTAAATACCTAGGTAGGCCTATTCCTGATTAGTCTCTAAAGTCTGACAAGTGTTTGGACTTTGGAGGTTAGGCTTGGATTTGGATTTGGGGCGTGGTGACTCTGAGAGAAAGAATTTCAGGGTCAGGCCTTTGCAACGGCCATCAGCCACGCATCACATTTTCATTTGTTAGTAAGGAGGAAGGGAGACCAAGCCAGGTGGAAGCAACATTAAAGAGAAGAGGCTAGAAGAGGTGTGAAAGTTTGTGTTAAGGTTGAGAAGTAATCAAGGGGAAGAGAAGTTCAAGGAGAAATTCATTGGTTTATTATTGCTATTTGTCAATTATTGCACTGTGCATTTGATAATTATATTAGCTATGGGGCCTTGTAGGCCCTGAGTGACTATTTGCGATATTATTATGGTTTGGTTATTTCAATTTCATTATTATTATTGCTTTTTTCTTACACCCTCCCAACCTCCACTCTAGCCAACCTCCTCCTCTCCCTCACACTCCAAGCACTCTCCAAAAATCGCTTTCCACTCTCAATCATAGCAGCAGTTACCCCCATTGACAGTCCCACAATCATTGCAATCCATTCATCTCCTGTT